TCACCTGGGTGAAGGGATCTCAGCCAGCCATGGTTGCACCAACCAGCACCATGCACAACCAACCACCCCTACCCTACTTTCTGGGCCCGATCCCTATTGACAGATCCCCCAGAATCTGAAGGAATTCAAGACAAATGGTTAAGAGGATGGAGTTAATAAAATTTGAAAAATTGAGGCCTGTCACTCCACTAAACTTTTTTCAATACCACTGACAGAAACATATTTCCCCAATGAGTGACCTTCCACAGCTGTAGCGGGCAGGCGCAGCCGTGCTGCCAGGAAGCTGGGCTGCTATTTATCAAATATTATAAGCTGGGACAACTAATCTGGAGCAGGAGAGGAAGGAGGGGTCCTGCACCACACTGCCTAGGGTGCTCCAGGTGTTTGCCCCAGCCCCAGACAGCCAGTGGGAGGTGACGGATGGCCTGCGATTAGTGCTCCCACCTCCTCTCAGCCCTCACACTTGCTCCCAGAGGCCTGACCCTCTAGACCAGCTGCTTGGCCTGGAGGGGCCCTGGGTGGGAGGCAGAGGGAGGTCAGGCCAGGGCACGGGCCATCCTGATGCTCCCGGAGAGGGCAGCAGGGTGAGGCCCAGCATGGTTATTTATTGGAGTGTAATGGTTTGTGGCCGTTGGTCGTGAAGGTGAAATCGATCAGTGGTAGAAGTCAGGTTCTATCAATTATTAGAGCAATTAGTCAAGTCAGAGGGAGGGTATGAGGCTGGAGGAGTAATATTGGATGGACATTATCCAGGTGCCCCCCGCCTCAGCCTTCCTAAAGTGGGGGCACATATGCTGCCCTGAGAACCTTGGAGAACCCGACTGGTTTCTCCTGGTGAGTAGCCTGACCTAAGAGTCTTCTGGACTGGAGCCAAGGCCCAGCACTGTAAAGGGAGCCCCTGTGCTGACTGGCCCAAGTGCAGAGTTGTCCTACCTGTCCCCACCCCATGCTTTATGAGTAGTGACATGACTCCTGCTAGAAATTACTCAGTGGCCAATGTTTATAGCACACATTTTTCATTCTGTAAGCAAATATAGATCACTGACAGCACTTGTTTGGAGCAGCTAATCTCACCCTCTGTTCTTTCTTCCACTGCCTTCTCACCTTCTTTCCACACCCTGCCAGCCCCAGACCCCCACCCACCCATTCCTCCCTGCCGTTCTCCTGGAGATCTCTTAATCCCCATTGCACAGAGCACATATTTAACAGCAGTACTCCCCTCCTGGCATGGAGAGAAGTGAGAGGCTTCTCCATTAGTCCCTTGAGGCTCCTGCCGAAGCTGTGCTATAGGAATGAGAGGACTTCTGTCTGGCACTGGCTCCTAAGACCTTGCCAATCCCATTGAGTACCCAGCACCCAGAAAGCATGGCCATGCCAAGAAAATAAGCCCCATAAAGACGGAAATGGGTCCTTCTTTAGCTCTGTGGTTCTTGTCTGTCTGCCTGTCCTTCAGCACCGCAGTCAGTCTGCCTGTGCTGTCATGTGCTCAGGTCCTCCATAGCTCTTAGAGCACTGAATTTATGTTAGACTCAAACTGAAAGGAGACCTGCTTCTTAAAAACAGGAAGAGGTGTCTGCAAAGACTGGTCACAGGACTGAGGTGAGGATTTGAGAAGAGGTCTTAAAAAACTCAAAGGAAACAATGGACAAATTATAAAGAACAACAATAGCAGATTCCCAGCACTCAGGATAACAGGAGCCAATCAAGTTCAAGGATAAGGTGGGCTATGTATTAAGTTTAAGGTTAGCTGTCTCTAAAGCCAAAAACAAGATAAGCATTGAGAGAGCTCATGGGTTAAAAGCCTACACGCCAGGCAGCTCACAACCACTCAACACCAGCTCCTATGCCTCTGACCTCTGTAGGCAGCTCCCTCCTTCCCTGCCTACACACACACACACACACAACACACACACAACACTAAATCTCAGGGATGGGGGAGTATATAAGGAAGAAATTGCCCAATGGCCTTGTCAGTCCCCATCCTGCACACAGATCAGCTGCCACTGCATCACTCACTGCAATGTCCAGTGAGTGTCAACTGATCTAAAAGAAAGAATGAGGCTCTGTTTGAGCATCTTAAAGTCTTAAGGACTAGAAACAGTAATGATGGTAAACACTCACATACTCATTCCACCGGGCTTTGCAGGAGAGGACAACCTTACTGGCTGGTACTCAGTAGACACAAGTACTGAGGTAGGAAGATCCCTTCTTGCACCTCCAGAGACACTCTTCCTCCCTGGAGGGATTTCAGCAGTGGTGCATCATTGCCACTCTGTTGAGGGTGTGGAGGATTGAAGTTAGGAAAACCTGGGCCAGGGTGGACTTCTGGCTCAGAACAATAGGCCTGCTGCAAATGGTTGCACTTGAGTCCAGTTTCCATGTCTGTATGTTGGAGATTTTGATTCCCCAGTGTTGAAAATGTTAGATGAAAAAATAAAAACATGCTAAGTGTCAAGCCAAGAACAAATGCAGTTGACTCTTGTTACTGTCACTCCAGGGCATCTACTAAAAAGACATGAAGCAAACAAACCGGAGTTGGGCATGGTGGTGTACACAGCTAGTCCCAGTAGTCTGAAGCAGGAATGGTTGAGCCTAGGTATTCAAGGCCATTTTGAGAGAGAAGCACCTGGGTGTGGCTACTTAGTGGCCCTTACCTGTTAAGCGCCCAGAGTGCTATATGAGGAAGATCTTGAGTTCAAGATCAGCCTGAGCTATATATAGCAAGACAGTATCTTAGGAAAACAAAAGGCAAACACAAATATAACAGACTTGAACTGTTTATTAAATAGATAAGGAAACATAGTATCTTCACAGAACAGACTATTATCCAGCCATGCTACCGCATGAAGGAACCTTGGAAATATTGTGCCATGATAGAAGCCATGCACAATGGCCATATATCACACAATTCCAGTTATATGAAATACTCTCGAAGAGAGAAAGTCAAGTGTTTCGGGGGGAGGGGTTGGTTGGGCTTTTCGTTTTGTCTTATTCTTTGTTTTGTAGGGAGTTGATAGTTGGTAAGGGATTTCTTCATGGGAAGTGGGTAAATTAGATGTTGGTAATAGTTATACAACCTGAGATTAAACACCAAATGTGTGCTTTAAAACCACGGATTTGGGGCTCGGGAGATGGCTTACCAGTAAGAGCATTGATTGTTCTTCCAGAGTACCAGGATTTAATTCCTAGCATCCATGTTGTGGCTCACAACTCCAGTGACACCCTCTCCTAGCCTCTTCATACCAGGCAGCAGGATGCTAGTGGCCTGGGAGTGGATTCAGTAGTAAAGCACTTATTTAGAATATGTGAGGCCCTACTCCCAGCACTGGTTAAAAAAAAAGAGGGTGCAATAATTTATGGTATATGAATTCTATTAATAAAATAGTATATTTATATTTATTCCTGATCAAAAACAAGATCATATGTAGTCTTTTGGGGTGGGGGCAGAAGACGTTGTTTTGTTTTTGTTGAGACAGTATCTCAGTATGTAGCTCAGGGTAGCCTTGGCTGCCCTGGATCTTCTGTCTCAGTCACAAAAGTGCTGGCATTAAAGGTATATGCCACCATGCCTAGCTTAGTTTTTTCTTATTTAAAAGTCTGCTATGCCCCACCTCCTTCCCCCAAACATGCAAGCTCTTACTGAATGTTTACTATCACTGCTAAGTTATGGAATCGAAGGAAGCAGAGCTTCAGTGGGGAGTTTTATAATGTGAGATAAATGTTCCCAGAGGCAGTTTTGGAAAAACTGACTTTTGTTTCTGTCCACGGTGATCAGTACCCACACTGAGTGGGTCTCCATTATGCTCTAATGGCAGTGATTAGTCTAAACTCCCCTTAGCTTACGTACATTTCTCTAGTAAGAAAGGAATACAGGAAATGCTGGTACTTACTACCACAGCTGCAGTTGACGTTGGAAGGCATGCCTGTGAGGCAAGGCCAGCTCTGTCCTCAGGCTCCACTGCTTCGGGGTTTGCAAGATAGCTGGCATTGGTTAGGGTTATGGTTGGGAAGTAAGAGAGTTGCCCAGAGATGGACTGTGGGAAGGAGAGTCTGGCAGCACGGAGAGTGAGAAGAGTCTTTGTCATTCTAAGCCTTGCCAAGTACACACCATATACTAGCTGATCTGTGCCAGCATTTAGAGGGTAGACTCTGACCAAGTAGCTCTCAGCTAGCCTTTTTCTCATGCCCAAGCTCTTTGTCCTCCATACATACCCTCTTTATCAGCAAGCCGGACAGAGCCAAGGTCCTGAGATGCTCACAACTTCCAGAGGACGTAGCTGACTCAGGTTAGCAGGGAAGAGAGAAGAGCTGGGTGTGGTCACACCTGTAACCTCCCTCCCCGACACACACACACACACACACACACACACACACACACACACACACACGTATACACTGAGGAGGCTGAGTGAGGACACTTGCTTTGAGTTTGAGGCAAGCTTACTATATATAACAAGTGCCAGGCCTGCATAAGGAGACTCTGTCTCAAAAAAGAAAAATAAAATAAGGAGAAAAGACCAGAATAAGACCTTGAAGTTCCTATTCAGGCTCTTCTGTGTTAGAAAGTAACGCTTTTATATGACCTTGTGAATGAGAGTCCCTTTGTATGCAGTTATATTGGGAAAATGCAAACATTTTAGTGACTGTAAGTAAGTATATATATGAATACATGTGCTGGCATTGTGTTGGGTATATGAATTTATGAATTTATTTGCAGGATTTTGTATGGGTGTGTGTGGGGGGTGTGGGTGTGGGTGTGTATTTTGTAGTCATAATAGTTATAGAAGGCGGCCCTAGTATCCTGATCTCCATTAGGAAAGACCACATATTCTCCTTCCAGAGTAACTTGATATGTTTTTTCTGTATTCCTTCTGCAATCTCATAAATTTCCATGGAGATTCATACTGAAATTGAAGTGCTCACGACACCTGTAGGTAAATACTGAGGACCCACTAATCATTCATGTATCCTCTGACCATTTATCCTTCTTTTTCTGCCAGGAGCCAACCCCCTTCAGAGGAATGAGATGGGACACACACCTCTGGATTATGCCCGGGAAGGGGAGGTTATGAAGCTTCTGAAAACTTCTGAGACCAAGGTGAATAGAGAGAAGGCTGTGTGTATGCTATGTACTATGTTCATGTAGTTCCCTCAAAGAGGTTGCAAAAGGGCATTAGATCTCCTGGAACCAAAGCTCAGACAGTTGTTAGCAGCTATGTGGGTGCTGGGAATAGAGACCAAGTCCCCTGCAAGAAAAGCCAATGCTCTTAACTGCTGAGCAATCTCTCCAGCCCCATGACCTTCCACTTTTTAAATTACTTCAGGTTCCACACCTTTGTTTTCTGGCAATTGGTCTTACTGCATGGTACTCCCAGAGTAAGTTATCAAGACTAAAACAAATGCAGTTAACTATAGGATATATAGTAGGTTCTATACAGGAATGACCCTGGAATAGGTGTCATTCTTGATTCTTTGTTCTTTTTCTAGCCTGCAGATCAGCTGAAGTGCCTTAAGATAACCCCAAGTGCTGGGATTGCAGGCATGCATCCTCAAGCCCACCCTTGATTATTGTCTATCTAAATTTACACTTAGCCCTGGCCAAGGTTTCTGGTTATGACTATGGAGAGGGAGAGGCCCAAGCCATTTGCAGCTTTTGAGAATTAACTTTTTTTTTTCTGGTTTCTTGAGAGGGTTTCTCTGTGTATCTCTGGCTATCCTGGAACTCACTCTGTAGACCAAGATGGCCTCAGATTCACAGAGATCCACCTGCTTCTGCCTCCCAAGTGCCAGGATTAAAGGTATGCACCACCACCACCTTGCTGTCATGTTCATTTTTATAGTGATAGCCTTCCGGCTCCTTTTCAGCAGAAGGTAGCAGCCAAATGAAGTTTTGAATGAAACATGAGTTTCTTAGGCCTTCCAACAACATCCTTCCTCACCGTAGCTCTCTCACCATTACCCTCTACGTGTATGCCAGAGTCTTGCACACAGTCTAAGTAACAGATGTCTCCATCCAAACGCTATTTTCACAACCAAACTTTCAAACTTCCTAAACAATCAGACTAAGGCTCATATCTTCTACAGCAACAGAACTTACCTTTTGGGCACATTTGTGTAGAATCCAAGAACCAGAGTCACAAATCTCAGACCTGGCAGGAACCTAGACAGTCATCAGATCTGTGATGGGAAATCTTAAGAAAGCAAAGCAAATGAGTCAGAGGGAGATGGCCCTGTTCTGGTTGAAGGGAAGATAGCCCCGAGTATTACCCATGCATCACACACGCTCTTCCCTCCTGGCAGCCCCTCCTGGCAGCTGCGGAGAGGGCGCTGTCGTAAAATGAATATAAATATCTGAAGTGAGAATCTGCTGGCTTGTTTTACGCCTGTAGATGCTGGAGCTAGGGTTATGATATGACATGTCGTAGGTCCCACACTGAGTTTGCATCAAAACTGAAACTGTCACACTTGGCCACAAGGCAGGACCTGGCCTGGAATCCTGGGCTTCTCATCCCTTGTCTTTGCTCTTTCTAACACTGAGGTTTTGTCCAAAGAGATAATTCGGTGTGACAGGTCTAACCTACGAGCAGATACTCTGCCAGTCTAAGACACCAAAGGCTTGGGTTCTTCTCAGAAACCTCAGTGAAGCTCCAGGAAAGAAAAAACACTGAACTGAAGAGTCTCTGAGACTCGGCTGGCTATATGAGTGCATAGCCATCAGGAGAAGCCGGACTGTGCTGCTTGTAATCATCCAAATTTCAGTGGTTTCAACAACAAAGGCTTGCTTTGCCTTTTGCTGATATTTGCTGTTGCTGGGGAATAAGGGTAGGCTCTGCTCAATGAGGGCACTCAGACCCCACCTTTAGAGCACACTCTCCCTCCACCCCACCCTACCCCACCCCCATTTGCTGGTTGCTTGCCAGAGGGAAAATATACTCTGAAGTGTCTTAAATTTTCAGTTAAGAGCTGACAAGGTAGCACTTACCTCACAAGCCCAGCAACCTGAACTAGATCTCTAAAACCCAAGTTAAGGTGGAAGGAGAGAACCAACTCCACAAAATTGCCCTCTGACTTTTACAGCCATGGCAACACTCCACAGCTGACTACTCAGCCTGGAAGTAAGACCCTTTACTTCCTATAACTCACTGACCAGAACTAACCATAGGATCCCATCAAATCAAAGGGGACAAAAGAAGTAACCCTACCATACTTGAAGACAAGGAGAGCTGGAACCACTTAGTGATCAACCTTACTTACTCTTTGTCTTAGGATAATTTCCTCAGAAGGAATGGGCTAAGAAATGGTAGCTAGCTTTTCATAGCCCGTCCAGATTGGTCCTTGGACCCAAAAGAGCTACTACATTCAAGGGGCTGTTGTTCCCCTCCCTGTGTTCAAATTGCATGCCCTACAACAGCTGCACCACCATCCAGGTCAACTTCCCCACATGCTCTGATGAGATAAATTTCTGCTGGTTCCAGATAGCCTCGGTACTGTATCCCCTCATCTCCTCTCAGACGGAAGGACAGCACTACACTTGCCAAGAACACCTGTGGTGTGTCAGGTGGTCTGACATAGGACAGGTACTGGTTCTGCAAAGATTTCTTTCAAAATGAACAAGTATCTTAGCGTCAGCACACATGATTAGAGCCACTGAAGGCCACTTAACAAAGTGGTTATCTCAATATTAGCCTAGTAGCAAGGCTAGAACCAGAGTGAACAACCTCATGGCTGGATTCACCTGTGCAAGGCAGACCCTGCTCGAGCTCCAAGGACAGACAGCTGCACATGCTCAGCAAATGGTGAGCCCTCAGAATCTGTTTGTCAAGGACTGCAGTACTGTGGCCAGAATGCTGTGTCTTGAAAAGCAGAAGGCAACAGGAATATCTGGCTGACGAGGAGAGACTGCTCACTCCAAAGTGCAGGAGTGGCTCTCAGTGTGAGGAGGAGACATTCAGTGGCAGAGCTCTTGCACAGCAGAAGGGCTTGCTTCTGCGGGGAGGCAGAATACCACTTGGAAGCTTGGTTCCGTAGCTTCACAGCTGGAAATCTGTTCCCTGGTGTCAGCTCTGTGCCATCATTCAGTTGAGACCCCATCCATCCTGAAGGCCAAGCACTCTCTACCTGTCCACCTCATTGCTCTGCTGTCTACATCGCCTTTGAGTAGATTGTCCCATCTCTCCTTTCTCTTCTGCTTGTTTTCACCAAACTGCAAAATCTACCTCTTTCTGGTAGATTTTCATGAGAAAAGCACTGCTTTAGACTGGCGCTCCATCTCCAGCTGCCCCCTCAGAGTTCAGGCCCTATTGTCAATTGCAGTGACTCAAACTTGGAGGCCACTGAGGTCCTGGCCTGAGGTAGTGTCTCTCCTGGTTGTGTCTTTTGTGAGTGTCTTAGGGTTTCTGTGGCTATAATGAAAAACACTGTGGTGACCAAAATCAACATGGGAAGGAAAAGGTTTATTTTGTTCACAGTTCCATCAAAAGCAGTGAGGGCAGGAACTCACGCAGGACAAGAACCCTGAGGCAGGAGCTGATACAGAGGCCATGCTTACTGGCTGGTTCAGCCTGCTTTCTTAAAGACCCAGAACCACCAACCCAAGTATGGCACCGTGCACAATGAGCTGGGCCCTCCCTCATCAATCATTAATTATAAAGATGCCTTACTGGCTTGCCTATAGCCCAATCTTATGGAGGCATTTTCTTAATTGAGATTCCCTCCTCTCAGATGACCTGTCCAGTTGACACAAAACTATCCAGCACAGTGTTACTACTCTGCTCTTATCTTACTCCCATTCTGGTCCTCCTGCACTGCACTCCACCAGTACCCAAGCCTCCTCCACCTCGGAAGAGTGTTAGCATCATATGTCTGGTTATAGAAGATTTGGAAGTAAGATGGGAGAATTTAACCTATTTATGAGTTACAGCTCTGTGCTGGACTGTGGGCTAGATAGCTGGAAACAGATGAGTAGTCACCCCAGGAGCTCGTCATCTGGCAGGTCAAGAAAGGCTTCCTGGGAGAGAGGTATCCCAGCCTAGTCTCTCATAAACATACCCTAACCTGCTGCCTGTGTATACGTGCCATTCATATGTCATTCCTAGCTTACTGATCATCGAGGCTCTGACATATCCGTTCTCTATTCCTGTAAGAAACTCGTGCAGCCACTCTTAATACCTGTCCCACAGATGGGAAGCCTGACTAGGCAAGAAAGAAAGACATGACACACAGAAACCAGGTTGTCTGTGAGGGTCTTAAATGTGCCTCTGTGGTACTCTTTCCAGACCATATCTATGTTTCTTTACATAGGTGTCCTTTCTACCTAAACCTACTGGCAACCATGTCTTATATACGGCATATAGCCAACCCAGATTTAGAAAAATGTGACACAGGATTTGTGGCATTGAATTTTCTCCCATCTATTTCCATATGGCAGCTGGGATGGTGACAGGCTGGTGGATAGTGATACTGAAAGCTCCCCTCCCCTTATTATTAGTGATTTGCACACATTTAAAATTATCTGTAAATCCAATTTTTTTTACTTTATTCCTTCTCTTAAAATGTATCACTGACTCAGAATCTGCCACCTTAATTGGACGAAAAGATTTTCTCGAAATGACTTCTCAGGTTCTATAGTTCTCAGTGTTCTCCAGGCCTTAGTTTCTTTTACCTCCTGGGAAGATCCAAAGTGGGAGAGACCCAGCCACTGTGTCTAACTTGCTATCCTACTGTGGGAGACAAGCATTCTTAACTCAAACAAACAAACAAAAAACAAAAAAAACAAAAAACCCTAGCAGGTGTCTCAGAGGGATGTACAGGGGGCTGGGAGCACTGTAGGAAAGCTTGCCCTTCTCCTGGCAGAATGAGCAGGGGTTAGCCTAGATCTCACTTTGAATGATTTTAGTACATGAAGAGTTTAATACTTAACGCGTAGACCATCTTCATGTCCTAACTAAGGGATGAGAGAGAGGTAGAAATATATCTCTGTGCGCATGATGGCAGATAAAACAAAAATATGGGGAGCTATCCCATGATGAATATTCAGCTGAGGGGGATGCGGGCATGCCAGCCGCAGCTTCTCTCCAGATCCTCACTCCACTGAGACTC